ACTCTTGCCCCACAAATTCCCATGACACCCCCCCTTACCTCCTTCAGGGTTTGCTCAAATGTTACTTCATCAGAGATGCCTTCTGTCCATTCTATATATCACAGCAACAGACCAACTCACCACCTACCCTGCTACTCCCTATCCCTTTTACCCAGCTTTATTTTTCTCCATGTCATGTATCATTCCCTGACATATTATACATTTATTGTTCGGTTCCTCACATTTGAATTTATGCTCTAATGGAAACTGTTTTGTTCCCTGCTCTATCCCAGGATGTAGAACAATGCCTGGCACATAGGTGATGCTCGGTATTTACTGAAGTAAAGAAGGATGAAAGGGGGGGAAGAGAGAGGAAAGAGAGAAGAGGGGAGGGAGAAAGGAGAGAAAGAAAGTAGGAAGAATTGTTGGTTTGGGGGCATTATATCTGATAGAATATAATGGGAGATAAAACACTTTTGACTGTTTCTTGAGGTTAAAGTATGGTCTGGCTCAGAGGTTTCCCTAATTTTGGTACGTCCTTATCAAACCAACTCTTAACCTTCCCATATTTTTTTTTTGCCAAACACAAAGGGATAAGGTAAAAGGTGGGCAGGGAGGGAGTGGAATATTGCCAGGCACTCTGTGTTTTTTTATACAGCTCCGTGAGGACAGGAACTTGTTTACCTGGCACAAAAAGCAGTTAATAAATATTTGTGAAATGAATGACTGAAGACCAGGGACCTCCCTGAATGTTCTACTTTGCATAATATTCCTCTAGAACTTTTATACAGTAAAAGCTGATGAAAATCCTCATAATCACAAACTGAACTTCCTGTTACCTCAACAATATGGGGGCTCAGAATCAGATTAATTTTATTACAAAAAATAAAGTGACTTTTCTTACATCCCAGAGTTCTGGGAGTTAAAATTCATACACACTACAAATCTAAGGAAGTGTTTCAAAGAGAACATTTGGGGAAAGAGAACTAGAACTGTAAGGAAAACCGTGGTCTAACTGAAAAAGGAATCCCACTCATGGTTCACAAGATAAGACCGAATAAAAAAATGTGGGCTGATTATGAGAAATCAGAATATGTGAATGAGGACTTAAAACATCAGTTTAGCTTTGACTTTGGGATGAAATAGTCAAGTGGAGCCCCAAACATTTTTGTATTCAAAATTAACTAAATATTAGCTGAAATTATTTTTCATCATCTGGCAAGAAGAGACAAGATGCAAGGCTTCTGAATACATATTTTAGAAAAAGATTGTCATCTCCTACTCCAGATCTCATCCTACACAATATGCTATGAGATACACTGCACTTGATTTGTGAAATAACTGAGCTTCAGAATAACTTACTGAGTTTCTGAATATTAAAAACATGAGTAAAAGTTAAAGAAATGAACATTAACAGCTGCTTAACAGTGATAAAATATACTTTTATTTACTTCGTTGAGTCAGAAGGTCGTAAAAAAAAATTATTGCTAAAGGAGATATCAGGCAAACAGAAAGGTGCTTCAGAAATCCAGTTACCTTGGAGTTTATTTAAACTAAGAGAAAAATGTCACAATGTTTTCATGCAATACATACTTGGTTCTTTAAATAACAAATGTGACAAATAGCAGAAAGAATTAAGGAATGCTACACTTGTGATCCATACAAAACAACAACATTTTGGGTTGTACATAATTAAAGAAATATCTCAAACACTTTTCAAAATACTGTATTAGCCAATACACAGAGGCATGCCTTCAGTGGCACAGGAATGCAGTTTAGAAAAGAAAAACAAGAATCACACTGGAACTATTCAATTTCTTTAAAATCACTGAGCAAGAAAAGCCACATTGAACTTTCATACTGATTTTACACAGCTTCTATACAGTACCTTGACTTAAATCCAAGAGCAAAAGTTAACACTCTCCTCCTCTATTTTTGGTAAACAACTGTATAGTAAACTTAGATGACTTTTCCCCCTGGATTTTACCTGGGAGTGGTCTTTTAAATATTTTATTTAAAAGAGGGCAGGTTTGGCACTTTTATACTGATGTCACCAATGTTAATATTTCTTGGGATCTCAGGAAGATTCATATTCTTTACAGCTGATACAGCACGGGCTGGAGCTCCCGCTAAGCCAGCCTGTATACAGAAGCAAATAAAAGAAAAAGAAAATGTGCAACTCAGGAGTAGCTCATAATAAAACACTTATAATGGAAGACAATGATAAAAGATTTTCATATAATAAGCTTAGAGACCAGATGGTAGTTTGAATTGGTATGAGATGGTTACTTTTTAAATACTAATCTATAAAGAGAAAACAGTTGACACATTAAAAAATACAGTGAACACATGCAATAACAACAATGTAAAGATTTAAATACAAATTAATATGTACTACACCTAGATATTACACACAATATTCACACGACAAAAGCTAGATCTTCACCTATATTTTGATTTAACTGACAGATGATATAAGCACAAAGCATAGTTTACATTTAATTTCCTTTAAACATCTCTTGCAACAATCATGATAGTTTTTTTTCTTTTAAACTGGAATTTATCAATATGCGCTGTGAAATAAAAACTGAAAGTAATAGATCATGCTTGTTTAGTTTCTTTATTCAGGGCTAAACCCTTAAAACATTTCAAAACAAAATTAGTTTTTAAAATTGTGGGAGCGCTTCTAAATTTTTCTAAGAAAGTTCTAGAATATTAAAAACAAATTTTAAAAAAAGGCTTTTAAATGAAGCCTTGATCCAAAGAGAATAGTTCTGCCTAAAGATAAAACTGCAAGAAGAGGATCATTACAACCCTTTGATGCATTAGTAAATATACAACGATTAAAAGTATTTTGTCATATAAAGTAACTCAACAACATATGTTCAGTTCACAGTGTATAAATTTAGAGAAAGAATAGCATAAATGCAAAAAGTAGTATATATAAATAAATTCTAAAATTTTCAGTAAGTAGTACTAAGTGCATAATATTTGGTTTTCCTCTTAGCAGGAAAATTTATAATTTGTGAATTAATTTCAAAAGAAAGTATGCTTAAAAATAAAAGAAAAATGCACATATGTCATTTTTCTCAAACAGCTACACCAACAGCCGTCATATTTAAGGTTTAAAAATTACCAATTAGTTTTCATTAATTTTTATTTAGGCTATATAATACAGCAAAACCAATAAACACATCTGAGTTCAATGGCATCATCTTACACAAAAGTAGACAAGTAACAAAACAAGTCTTCCATTTTGCTTAGATACATATATAAAAGACAATGTTCGTGAAATTAGAAACACTAGTTTTAAAGTCACTTTTTGTAACTTTAGTTTTTTCTCTTATGTAATCCTACCTCTTTTGTTAATTAAAATAATAATAATAATAAAGCTGTTACCTGAGAAAAATCTTGACTGATACAAAATAGGCCAGTGTAAACTATTTGCTGAATAAAGGATACAAACATTGTTAAGCAATGAAATAAAAGCCATGGATTATCAATTCAGAATTGGAAAATAATAGAAAAATTAGTAAATAGTATTAATAATAAATATGGTCCACACAGGCAATGAGAAGGGTGATATGGATGAAAAACTCCACACCCAAGTAAAGACTGCAAAGGGCTGGAGAATTTGATTTTTATAATTTAATGGAGGTTAGTTGTTTTTGATGTACAACTAGATATTTGATAGACATCTGCATTTATACCTACCTGAAACAATGAAGCTTTTGTTACACCCTACCTCCCTCCTGATTCCCCCAAAGATGCTGAAGATTCAACTGAACATGATTTAGGGTAGCACGTATCATATTCAAAAGGATCTTTATTTTGATCATTTCAGGTGTTAAAGGTCTAGCTACCAAAATTTAGAATGGTTTAGGATCATAGGAGAATTCAGTTCAAAGAGGTTTACCACCTTGTATACTTTCTTACCAGGAAGTATGTTGTCTGCCAAAGGAACAAAATTACTTTACAAAATTGTAGACATGATAGAACTAATGTCATTTTTCCAGGAAGAAGAATTTCATAATTTTTCTTTTTTTTTTTTTTTTCTGACCAGTAAGGGGATTGCAACCCTCAGCACGGTGTCGTCCGCACCATGCTCAGCCAGTGAGCACACCGGTCATCCCTATACGGGGTCGGAACCTGCGGCCTCGGTGCTACTAGCGCAGCACCCTTGCAAGTGAGCCACGGGGCCGGCCCTCATAATTTTTCTAATTAAAAGAACAATTTGCCACTATTTTTACTTTGGAATTTCCATAAAGCATAAAAATAATTAGAATATAGAAAAGTATTGATAAAATATTTGAATATACATATTTTAAAAGCCATGGATTATTAAAGAATTTTATTGTAAAAGAGACTGTGTGTGTGTCTGTGTATTTTACTGGATTCTATGGTTTACATTTATAAATAGTAAACATAACTGTTTCAGTATTAAATTAAATGTCATGAAGCCTTCTTTTCCATAATATCCTGTTACCATGAATAGCTAAACTAAACTTAAGCAAAGAAAATGAGAATAAACAATACATCCTGTTAAGTTTCATTAGATAAAATTGTTTCTTCGTGACCAAAGATGGTGTCAACTGCTGGCTGCTAATGAGAATAAAGTCAATACAGCAATTGATTTGATTAGCATATAGATATCATGATTTTATTATGTAAAACCAAAAGAAGTTTCTAAGTACAACAAACTACAATTTTTCTAAACATAAGCAGCAAGCCATAGACATGCAAAGGATGGGAACTATTCAAAACACGCAAATGAATTAGGAGAATCAAATTATTTCTCAAGCACGTTGAATACTTTTGTGTAGTATGTCATGAATTTAAATAGTAAGAAATAAAAAACTGTAATATGTACTTAAAGTTTTAATTAAACTAACATATTAAGAAATCAGATTCTGCAGAATACAAAACAAGAAAAATACAAGAAGGGCTGTTGATCAGTAAGTAGATGCTTAGAGGAGCTGTCAGTGTTTCTAGATATAAACTTAGGGCTCAAAAAAAAAAAAAAAAAAAGACTTTATGTTATTTGGGTAGTCAACACCAGAATGACTATAAAACAAATTTCATTTTCAGAATTTCATGAAAGCGAAGTTTAAAACATTTATATTAAAATAAAATGTAAGAGACGTAATTTGCCATTAGGAAATCAGTTTGCTGAAACAGCAGTATAAAGTAATTTTCATCTTGGTTAAGATTTTTTTTTCAGTAAGATATACTCAAAGCAATGAGATAACTTTTACTAACACTTAACTTTTTCAATATTACATTTACAGAAATTAAGTTTACCTGACTTAGTAGTAAACTGACTTAGTTTTAAACATTTTAAAATGCAAAAATAGGATACTTCTGACAATACAATGTAGTTCTTAAAAATTTAAGTTTACATAGTTGGCATAAAGCAGAAATAAAAGAATTAAATTCTACTGGAGAAATAACTTGTTTCCGTCTGTTATACTCAAGCACCACCATGGCAGGTAAACCGCGGCACCTCCACTAACAAAACAAATATATGAATCCAAAGCAGTTAAGAGTATGAATTAGATGAAAGAATGAAGTACGTTATATAAAAGAATGGTCATGTTTTCTCTCCCATGAGATTAAATAAATTAACAGAATTAAGAGAAAGAAAACAAAATGAAGTCTGCAAGTATACCAAAATGAGGCCAAACAGATAGAAGACTTATACAGACATACTCTTGGAAATTTCAAGCACTTGAATCACAAAGATAGTAATGGATGGATATGATTTGTTTTTTATTTTGTTTTTAAATTGCCAGACCCAAAAATAAACAAAATATGTGCAAGCAAAAGTGAAAAAGCAGCATTACTAATATATATTTCAAAGAATCTGAAAGCTCCCTTTTCCTCATGCAATAAGCAGTTAACTTTCTTGAAGGGAAAAGGAAAGTAATACTTTTGTTATTTATTTCATCTAAGACATAAAATACCAACCTACCATCTTAAAATATTTTTCCAAGCTTGAAATACAGCATAATAAGATGGTAGCTGGAATAATTTATACATACTAAAACTTTTACCCACCCTTCCTGCTGGAAGTTGCTATATGCACATTCATAATTTTGACCTAACAGCAAAGTGAAAGAACACCAACATTAGTAAACACAGCACTAAATGGTTTCAGACTCAAAATCATTAACAAAATAATGGTATATTTTAAAAGTACGTTTTTTAGTGAAACAAAAAATTTCAATATTTAATTTCTGAATATGAAGCGAAATAAATTTTAATCTGGGGATTTGTCATAATAGGCTTGTTCTTTGCTTTAAAAGCAGTGCTTTAATACTACAATCATAAACAGATTAGAAATGTTGATATCAATCCTGTAGTGAGCAAGAACTATGGCATTTCATAAACGATTTTATCAAAATTAGAATGTTCAAAAATTTTAAAACCTTCCAAATTACTAGTCATTTTATACAGATTATCTTCAGTTATGGTTTTAATTTCTAACATAGGATTTGCCTGTATGTACATTCATGGATTTATTATTACTAGTTTTACCTCAGGGGTCTTCATTGTAATTTTGTAGAAGTACAAAATAAATGTGCATGGCAAGGTAGAGGGGCAGAACCAACTTGTGAGCTAACCTTCCAACCTCCATATCCTATGGCCACTTTTCTTATTCTCTATTCTTTGAAAGTAGATACCTGATTTAAAAAAATAATAATAATAACTAGTTCCAGTGATAGAAGTTAATGGACCCAAGTAGTTAATGATTCTTTGTTAGAAAACTGCAGTTTAACATAAATTAAATACTGGAACATAGAAATTGGAAGTGAGTTCAATCAATGAAGTGAATAAGACCACTATATATTTTTTATACCAGAAATAAAGTAACATGGATAGAGGGACCCAAAGTGGTACCCAAGCTTCATGATATAGCCCATAATCTCAGAATAAGATATTACAAAGCCACCTATATGTTGCTACTTCTCAAACATAACCAGACAGTAACAATTTAGTGGCTAAAAAGCAATGCCAAATTCTCAGTGATATTCTTCTAATTCGTAAGGTGGGTAATCTAAATCTAACTTAAGTTTATAGACTTTTTTTTCCCCTCTGTAGAACTCAGTAAATTATTTTTATTTTGAAATTTTAATTTGGAGGCCTATAAACATGTTAATTTTTTCCTGGAATGGTTTAGTACAAAGAGCTCATCACCATCTACATGGAAATTTTTTAAAAGTAATTCACACAATTTATGGTGTGAAAAAATGTACAGGAAATACACTACCAAAAGAAAATTAGTTTGTGATGCTAGAGTCTATTAAAAATATTTCCAAAATTTGCCAGTACGCATGATAAAAATATACAGAATTTACAATATTTTATTAATTCTGATTATGACATGGTTGGATGTCAGAAGGTTTGCTACAACGGAGATCCACTGTGTTTTGGTCAATGTATTTAATTCCATTTTTAGAGCATTTAATTAAAGTTTTAGAAGATTTATGATCTTACTTTCTGTTAGCCACAGTTAATATACGCCTGTGGGCCAAAACTACAAAAGCAATTCTGTTAAGACTTTGGAACTGAAAACCATTTTGGGGGAAAAAAAAAAGTACTATTTAACTATCACTATTCTAAGCCTTCATCGCTTCCCACTTCATATGCAAAACTTTAAAGGTTCAGCTTTTGGCTTTTAAATTCACAGCTTCCAAAACCCAGCAGGCAATTTTATGTTGGAATCCTAATTTAGAGATGGGAAAAAAAAAATCTGTGAGAGTTAAAAAGTAAAATTGGTTCTGCTATATGATGCTCAAAATAAACCCTAAGTTTTTTTATACAAACTTTTTATATACAAAGTAAATTGTCATTTCTACAAATGCAATTTGTCAGTTAAATGACAATGTTTTCAAAACAAAGCAAAACAAAACAAAAATTTAAACTTTCCTTTTACAATGCAGGCAGACAAAACAGAACAAACATGACATCAATGATATACTAGTAAAATACACTAAGTCCAATAAAAGATGAAGAAACTACAAGGAGAAACTAGAATGGAAAATAGGCTACAGGGACTATATGGGTTCATTAACACAAAGAATTTTTGAGTCTGGCCTAAATAATTAATTGCCTTTGACATCATTTTGCTTTCCCTTTGTTAAAGTACATTTTTCTCAAAGTCAGCAATACCTTGTCTACCTGTCCTGTCTGGGAGACTGAAAGATAAAGGTCTGTAAGAGAGAAGAATGGAAAGAGCTAGAAAGATCAGGATGTTCGGAAAAAAAGAGGACTGACTTAAAAAGTAGTGACTAAATTCAGACCCATTTATCCGTCTTAAGAGTAACATGAAATACATATAAGCTAACAAGTCTCCCAACCCCACCCCACTACCTCCACCCCCAGGGAGTCCTTTTATTCTTAGGCAGATTCCTGGGAACCCACCAACCTCCCAACTTAAGCCCTCCTCTCTCCCAAGATCCCAATGTTATAGTAAATCATTTTTCCATCAAAACAGAATAGATGAAAATACATTCAGAGCATATCTTTGCTTCTCCATTTTTTCAAGATCTGGGAAATCTTTGCTTCTACCTGTCTAGGTATTGGAAATTAAACTGGTTCCTTTTCTTCCATCACTGGAAATGTACTACTACCTTTAAGCCACTGTAGCAAAATCTTTGATTTCTGACAAAGGCACCTTGATAAGTCCATGTTGTATTTTAAAAGCTGTATCTTAATTATGCCCAGGCTGATTTTTAAAAGATAAATGTTATTCCTAAAATATTACTTATATGAATTTTTAAAGTATGATAACCAGTTCTTTTCAACAATCATGACATTCTGGATTCTAATTAAGTCTTCCTTCGTAAGTTTTTTGCTTATATAACGAATTTTAATTAAAATTTAGTAAGAGTCATATTAATAAAAGTTTGCATTCTGCTTGCAAGTAATTTCAAATTATTCTGCAGAATCATGTCTCTGGTAGATTGAACCAGCTGAAGTAAAATGGAAACGGAACGCATATAAACCTTTTGACATTTCAGTGTGTCTGAAATATGAAAATATATTTAAATTTACTTAAAATTTACAAAAATTGCTGAAAATTACATAAAGTCAATATAGTTTTCAACATGATTTCTTATAATATGATCAGGACTACATAGCCTTACTTTGACTCAAAATCCTATTTCATAACTAAAATATTAGCAGATGTCACATATATTTTAAGACAACAATTGATAAAACAGTTGATAAACATATAATTTTGTGGTATATCCCCAATCAGGTTTAAAACATATTTTCTTATAAAGGACAAAAAGAAAAACTAATTTGGTAGCAGATAAAACTGATTACACATGTTACAAGATGATCAGTGGATGAATAACAGAAGTATTCACCAGTATTCTAAACTATTTTAAATAGCACTGTTTCTGTGAGAGGATTTTTTCTATAATCACTTCCACAGAAAATGTAAATTCTGCATTTTAGTGCTCTTTATAGGTAAGAAAAACTGTCTTCATTAACAAAGTTTCACTGGACAATCAAAAAGTAAATATCCATTATGCAATAATTATAGGTCTTTCATGACTTTCCTCAATATTATATACATAGCATTCTAAGGAGCAAGAGAAGAACAAAGGGCACCACCAATGGAAAGGACTTAAGTACCTGGGAATGTGAAAGTGCCAAACAAGTGGTCAATATATTTTTACAGATGATTACACAAAAGTCACAAATTACCACACATCCATTCATTTTAGATCAATTACTAATGGACTGTGTCACTATTTGTCCCTTGGCATTTAAAACCTATAACCATACAGTTCTGTAAAACAATGTCTAACAAGTTACATACATTTCAAGTTATTTTAAGACTTTAAAAACTACAATTTAGGGTTTACAGTAAATCTTTTTTTATTTTTTCCCTTTTGTCTTTTTTTGTGACCGGCAACGGATCGCAACCCTCAGTGTTGTGCCCGCACCTTGCTCAGCCAGTGAGCGGCCGGTCTGTATGTGGGATCCGAACCCTCGGCGGGAGCGCCGCCGCGTTCCCAAGTGGCGCACTAAACAATATTCTAAGTCCTTTTCATTGTCATAAAACAAAATTTTCTCATTAACCTAGTTATGTTTCCCCCTTTCAAGTACCAATATATTAAAAACTGGCTACAGAACATACAAAATATATACAGTTACTTAAAAGAGTCATAAGTTTAAGCTCTTCATCACCATTACAAGCCACTCCTTTGGGAAACAAATAGGGATGGCAAATTGAGATAAGAAGAAATGCAGGACTATTTTTAATTTAAAATAGAACATCGGAAAAAGTTTTTACAGAAAACTTCAACTGTTTCTAACCCTCAAATTTCAGATTCATCCATCATCCTGTGTTTCCTTCAATTCAAATGAGCATAGAATTACGTTAAACTGATCCTTTAAAATGCCAACAATATAAAATTTTCAGAACTCACCTGTTGTAAGTTAATGCTAGTGTATTTTTAATACCTTGCCACTTTTATAGTAATATTTACTTTAAATCAACCAAACAGCTGAACTTGTACTAATCATTATAAATAAAATTTGTTTTTCTAATCTGGGCTATCACTATAAACACCAAATGTAAGAGTATCTTCAAACAAGTATAGCACTGAATGAGATAACAAGACATATTCATCTTTCTAAACCTCTGCTACCGTGATAAGAAATCACCAGAATAATGTGAATTTGAGTGGCTCAGCTACAGCACCGGCTGCTGACATTCAGCCTAGTTCTTGAGGAAAGATTAACTAAAATTCTAAAGTAGTGCTTTATATGATGCTAAAGTGCTGGATGGTCCTCATTCAACCCATTAAAGGTTGAACCTAATGGCACAGAGTAAGCCAAGTATAACAAACCAGATATTTCCCTTACAGAATGCAATAAAAACCATGAATGTATATACCAATGTGTAAAATACATGACCTAACTAACCTTTCAGTGACCTTTCGGAAGGATCCCAAATTTAAAAATTAAGGTATTGAACTTCTTTTTTCAATGTGCACTCAGACTTGCTAAGCAACTGTTATAAATTAAAAAATTATGACTTCACAACAATTCTATTTCCTCTCCTTTCCAGAAACAGTTTTGTAACACTAAATTTATATATATTTAAAATATCAGTTCTAGGATTTCCTTGATAATTACTGACTAAAGTTTTAAATAGCGAATATTAGATTCCACTGTTCAAATAAATAATTCTTTTTTAAGCTATAAGAATTTGGAATTGTGATTATTAGCCAAGGCAGCTATGACTGTGGCTAAGAGAATACACAAAGCTATTTGGTGGATAGTAGTTACAGAACATTTAGCATACTAAAATATGTATATTCAATTTTTTAAAACTAAATAAGCACACTGTCTGTACCTAAAGAGTGATACTGAAGGACAAACAGTGAAAGCTACAAATCATGCATAATTCATGAACATGCTTAGAATCTTCATTAACTAGAGCATTTTCCATTCTTACCTCGGATTTCTCCAGTTTATTCTGTGCATCAATTTGTGTAACAATCTCATTCATGTTGGTCTCCAATACCATTCCCCCCATAACCATTTCTGCAAGAATATTGTGAACCTAAAGGAAAAAATAATATAAATCCATAAAGAATATTCACTTCAAAAAGTTTCATGATTTCAGTAGTTTTTGTTTCAAATACTGCTGTGTCTATTTTATGAGTGGCAAAAATAATTTGGAGAGAGGGCTCATAATCCAACTTCACTACTGTGAAGCCCAGGCAGTTATACAACCTCTTTAAACCTTGGCTTAAGGGACTGTAAAACAGATAATAATAGTACCTCCTTCATAAGACCATTGAAAGGACTGAATGAGGTAATCCACAGAAGTACCCAAACAAAGTAAATGATCAATAAACATTAAATAACACTATTATTATATCAAATTCAATACTTATAAAATGATCCCTATAAGGGCTGTTTATACCAGATTCTTAGCCAACTATTATTATGGTGTTACTTTATATGCAAGTACTTAATGACATAATGTAGTACTAATAACAAGGTCTAGATTGAAAAAAAACAACAGAGTTTTTCTTTTATTGTAGGTACTTTAGTAGTGCTTTTACCCTCTAAATCCTCTATACTATATATGTAATTCTCAGATTTCTTATCATAAATATATCCAATCATGACTTAAAATACTGTCTTCCATTTGGGGAGTAAAAATATAATACAGATGTTTTTTCACAGGTATTTACTGGATCAAAAATTGAGAATTCAAAGCTCAATTAAGTTTCACAGACTAGTATACGCTGCTATAATTAAAAAAAAATAATGTGCTTAAGGTTAAAAGTGGAGACTCTGAAATTAGATAAGTATGCATACTGACTCTATAACTTATTAGTTATATGCCCTTGAGAAGTTACTTCACCTGAGTCTGTTATGATAAAATAGATAGAAATAGTATAGGCACCTCATGGGGTTATCATAAGAATGAAATGAATAATTCATGTAAGTGCTTAGCAAAGTACCTTCTAAGTATTACAAGGTAATTTACTTTTTTCAACAAAAACTTTTTTAAAAGTTAAATATATATTATTCAACTTTCATTCCTTTATAAGATTTCATACAAATATATTTATAATTTTAAAAATACCCTATCATCATTATTTGCTAATTTTTCATTTTGGAAAGATGAACACCTTATGTACAATTTTAAAGAAAGATTTATATAAATTACTTTTCCCAGAAAACAAAACAAAACAAAATGAGAAGCCACACTTTTTAAAAAAAACTAATGCTAAATATCATTAACTTCTACTATCATTACTGCTACTAGATATCAATTATCGAAATTATATTTTGATGCTGTACTTATGGTATACAATTTAACTCTCATATTAACCTGTTATTACTGAGAGAATAAACCAGCTTAACTCAAGACACAACTAGTATGTGGTAAACCAACAATTCAAATCTAAGTCTAAGTGACCCACAGTTAATTCCTTGATTTCTTCCATAACAATGATGAATGGAATTGATACAGCTAATTCACTTTTAGTCATAATCTATGAAAATTCAATTAAAGGTCAACAAAGTGATCAGGTGATAAAATAAAATTACTTTAAATAGCTAATAGGTACTGTACACAGAAAGAATGTTGAGAAAGGCCATGGCGCTCCTGCCGAGGGTTCAGATCCCACATATAGACCAGTTCCCGCTCACTGGCTGAGCGAGGTGCGGGTGCAACACTGAGGGTTGCGATCCGTTGCCGGACACGAAAAAAAGACAAAAAGGAAAAAAAAAAAAAAAAAAAAGGCCAACGTTTTGATGTTCCTTACCACAGCATAAACTAGCCCATCCTGACTGGTAACAAAAGGGTATTCTCTACAACTTCCGCCTTTCATCTACCCAATTGCAGCCCAGAGCATTCTGAGGGTTGTGCACAAAACTCTGAGTCTGCCCCTAAGAAAAAATGAGCTGAGCCAGTAAGAAGATCCCTGATTGCTGGAAGGTCCAGCGCTGCTTAAAAGTTGAAAATAATCTCATTTTCATTTAAGGGCTGGAAAGCAAGGCTGGTGATTTTGGACAAAGAATGTAGGGATGGGAAATATCTACCTTACTGGTTTCTGACTCCTGGCATCCTGAAAATTTTGTCTCATTGCATTGAAAAAAACTAAAACAAGAGCTTAGCTCAGAGAAAAGAAACAGCTAATTTTGGCTGGTTCTAAAATAGGGATACAGTGCTGTATGACAAAAACAGGCTATACACAATACATATTGTATAATCCCATCTTTATTTTTTTAAAGATGTATTTGTTTTTGTACATATTTGTACAAAAAATATGGAAATACACATATTCTAAAGTGTTAACATTAGGTAGTCTCTGGGATCAAGATGATTTTCACTTATTTTTCTCATCTGTATTTTCTGATTTTTCTAAAATGAATGTAAATTAACGTTAAAAAGGAGTTTTTAAAAAAATTGTGTGTCACGTTTGAATGCTGTAGATGAGTAGAGCTTAATTTCCTTAAGAAAAACTTTAATTCTCTAACAAGTGTAAGAACCACATTTACAACAGGATCCTCAATTTTCTTAAAATATGCTAAATATATTATTTAAGCTAATGATCTCTGAACAGGCATTTAAAAAACAAATCTTTTAAAAAATTTTAATAACGTACCAAAACATAATTTTGAATACTGTGAATTCTGATGCCTAAAAATAACAGGAGTCTTTGTAAGTACGAAATGGTGTAAAACATAACAATTAAAGAAAAGCAGCAGAACACTAAAAATAAACTCCTAAAAATATCAAGCTTAAGTTCTCTGTCCAAAGTGAATTAATATATGAAATCACTCATAAGTGGGGGCTAAGAAAGAAAGAATAAGAACACAATACACTGAACTTTCAGAGGGAGAAAACGGGACTGTGGTTATCAGAGGGAAGAAAGGGGGACAGGAAGAGGTGGTTAGAGAGAAATTGGTTAATGGACAAACAGAATGAGTACTTTTTGTTATGACGAATATACCAACTATCCTGATTTTATCATCATATACTGTATAAAAATACTGATAGTCAATTCTTTACCCCACAAATAGGTATAATCAATTATGTTTCAATAAAAAAAAGCACTTACTAAATGAGGAATACGTTCTAGAGGACTGGCTACATCCTCTAGAAAGGTATTCTTTTGATGTTCACATATAAGAAAATGCATACCTTGTGTTATATCTTGATAGTGATTATATAATATATACATCGCCAAAACTTATTTAACCGTATACTTAAAAGTGCTGACTTTTAATGCATGTAAATTATCACGATTATATTTTTTGCTGAAATTTTCAGATTATTTTCAGACTATTTTATTCAATGGGTTAATCATTAAAAAACAATCTAGTAAATTACACAAACAATACAGAAAAAAATCTGCACGTAGTAAAAGTGGAATCTCTTCTTCCTAAATTCCATATTACCAATACCCAGTAATACTGGCTAGAAACCTCAGTCATTCTTCCTTTCTCTCAAATTCAGCTTTCAATAAGCCATCAAGTCATATCAATTCTATTTTCTTTCATCCCCATCTTAGTGCCTTAATTCATTTCTTTCTGGACTACTGCAATAGACTCTTACTTGATTCCCTGTCTTTAATTTTCCTGCCTACAAATCCAACCTCCATAATACAGGAAACTATAATCTTGCCAAAAAATTATACAAATGAAGCAACAATAATGTCAATAAAAACTTGTTTAAAAAGATTAAATTGCTTGAGAATAAAGTCCAAAGTCCATAGCATTTATAGCTTCAAAATCAGGCTGCTTGATCAATATCAATCCCTCCTCACAAAAAAAGCTTATATTTTGTATCTCTGCCGGTAGCACTACCCTCTTTTTTTCTATCTGTGAAATATCTACCAATCCTTTAAAATCCAGTTTAAAGTAATTTCCTCCATTCATGCTCTCATAGGCAGAGGTAAGTAGTTCGGCTGTGTTCCCATTAACGCTCTGTACATACTGTTACTTGTTAATGCCATTGTTTCCACCCCTAGACGTGAACTCCTCTAGGTCAGGGTCTATAGTAAAAAAAATTTACGAATTAAATAATAAATAACTAAAGGATTAAAAATAGTATTATTCACTAAAATCCATTTTTACTCTGATAAATACCAATTAATGTTTTTTTAAATGAAAAGCTTAGAAGATATGACAATATAGAAACAGTACCTTGTCTACATGGAAAATTAAATCCAGTTCACAGACATTTTCAAAACACTTGTCTAATGTTTCCACGAATACCTATGGAAAAAGGAAAGAAAAAAAAGCTTTTGAGAACTGTATAAGTTCCTTCAAATCTATTATCTACAAGGCAGATAATTCTTGATTATGAATTAAAACTTTTCTAACACTATTACCACATTTTCTTTTAAAACTAAAAATTGTATTGAATACAAGAGGAGTAAAAAAAGAATATTATTCTTCAGATAAGCTACTTTTCAATACCTAAGCACACAAAACAAAATAAACTTTTTAGAAAATTACTAAAACTACAAAGCCTTAGCACCATTACTTAACAAAAGCAGTTAAAAATACTCAAATCAGGCTTCCTTTTCCCAGGTGAGGGAACAAAAAAAGCTCAGAAATATTTATGAAGATAGATGGACATAGTCCAAGTCCCTACCACAGCTACTGTGGCCAATAAATTTTAATTAGCAAATCAGTGTACAAGACCATTAAAACTTACAATAGAAAGAGCACAGACTTTTGAATCAGACTTACCTGGGTTCAAACTGGCTGAACAACTTGTATGACCTTGGGTGGAAAAAGTTACCTCAGCAGGCCTGGGTTGGTCAAATCCTACTCATTCCCCAAAATGGCCAGTTTTCAGGACTAGTCCTTGGCCAGCTCCTGAGATCTAAGCTCTGATCTTTTGGATAAAAGTGTTTTTGTACGCCTGAGGTCTTGGGCCACACTATATCAGTTTGAGCAGATAGTTTATGCTAACACTGTGATTTATGATGAATTCCTGCTTTTTCTCTGGAGCTTAAGTAACCAAGGCCAGTCACAGAGGTGCTACATGCCTATGTGAATGGTTCTAATAAAAATCCTGGGCACCTAGGCTATGGTGAGCTTCCCTGTTTAGAAACACCTTGCACATGTCATCACATACTTCTGAGAAAATTAAGCATGTCTCTTGTGACTCCAGTAGGAAGGGACACCTGGAAACTTGCAACTGGTTTCCTCCAGACCTCCCCACCTTATGTGCCTTTGCTGATTTTACTCTGTATCCTTTCACTATAATAAACCATGAGTATATAACAACTTCTGAATCCTGTGAATCTTAGCAAATCATCGAGATGATCTTGGGTATCCCTGACACAATCCTTCAAAAATTAATCTTTTAAATTCCACCTTGCTGCCTAGTCTATTCCCATTTCTATTCTCACCACCTCTCTTCAGTGGCAGCTTTCAGATAGAGTGACCATACAATTTGCCATCCAAAATGACTAAGTATTATTTAATATTAAGTATTAAGAGTAAAAGGGAATTGATAACTACTATTGTTATAATAATAGTAAACCAGATGTAAACCAGTATTATCCCAGGCAAACTGAAATACATGGTCACACTATTCATAAGATACTAGGAGGCAAGGTGTAAAATCTACACAAAAGGCTTCTTGCTATAACTGTTCCCACCTCAGGCCAATTTACACACAGATCCACAATGGAAGAATCCTTCCTGGCATCAAGGCAGATGGATAAGATGGGTGAAACAATGTATATATGTAACTATATGACCATAATCAACAGTGTCTTAGATCAGGGGTTAGCAAACTTTCTCTGCAAAGGCACAGAGAGTAAATATCTTAGGGTTTGTGGGCCATACAGTCTAGCACAAAAGCAGCCATAGACAATACATAAACAATACATAAACAAATGAGCATAGTTCTATTCCAATAAACTTTATTTACAAAAACAGGTGGCATTCAATTTGACCTGCAGGCTGTCGTTTGACTCCTGACTTAAGCCTAATCACTGGAAGAACTAATAGGTCTGTAGTAATCAAGAATATATGTTGTTTTACTCAAATCTTATTTGTGGAAGAGGGCAAGTTATTAAGATGATTAAGAGTGGGAGATACACAAGGTGTTATATTGTGAAATATATATTTGGTTTTCCTCTCACTTCCTGTCACAGAGCTCCTAAAACCCTTGGACTCTCCAAAGTGATAAGTGTCTTCTTATATGATAACAAGATGATCGATGGCTAGGGGCTCCCAGATGGCTTCAGGATGGGGCTACTTGCCAAAAGAACCCACCACGTTATTACAGAGTTGGAACTTTCAGTCCCACCTCTCCCACCCATCTACACATCCTCAGGGAGGGGGAAAGGAGCTGAAGTGTTAAGTTGATCACCAATGGCCAATAATTCAATAAATCATGCCTATATAATGAAATTTCCATAAAATCCAAAAGGACTGGGTTCTGGAAAGTTCCAAATAGCTGAACATGGAGGTGCCTGGAGCGTGGTGTGTGGGAGGGGCATGGAAGCTCTGTGGCCCTTCCCACAGGCCTTGCCCTATGCATCTCTTCCATCCGGCTGTTCATCTGTATCCTCTTTAACATCCTTTAAAATACATGATAAACGTAAGTATGGTATAGTGCTGAGAACATATGCTTTGCAACGTGGGTTCAAATTCCTGCTCTGCCACTACCTAGCTAAGTGGCCCTGAACATCATTTAACTCCTTTAAATCTCAGAACTATAAAACAGTGATAAAACAACCTGCCTTTCTGGGTTATCATAAAGATTGAGTTAAACAATTTAGAATGTCCAGCACAGTTCCCAAAACATTAATTAAATGGCAGCCAATATTATTCATCTGGCAACCAATATTATTCAATATTATAAACATGTGACTTTAGAATTAAAATAGAAATAAAAAGTACTAATTCTGCTGATAAATACTAATATAAAAGTGAATATAAAATGCTCTTGCTGACAAAATGTGATTTTCTTATTAACTTAGAAAACATCACTGTTCATATTTAAGCCAGAACATACCACTTACGAAAAATGTGAATACTAAAAAAATTTAAAAATATAAAAGCAAAATGTCCTTATAAATACATGTTCTTAATTTATGAAAAGAATTCTTAAAATTTAAAGCACTCAAATACTGTTCCATTTAAAAAAAATCAAAGACCCTCTTCAAAAAACTTTCCATTAATTTTCTTTTGATTTAGCAAAAATTATTTAACATAATTAGAAATCCACAACCCCAAAGTGGATACACACTGATGATCTGTTACATCCAGAAGGCTAGTAAAAAAAAAAAAAAAAAGTTAAAGAGGCTTGAGGGTTCTAACCAGAACAAAAAAATAATAACGAAGTTACTGTTGCATTATTATTTCACAAGAAGAAAGATAAAGAGCCAAGAAAGGTAAGAGTGACATGGTAAATAGCACCCTCTTGTGTTTCATTTAAAAAATGATATAAAGTTTAAAGCCAACTTCAATTTAACAGCCATCTATCTACTAAGTGACTAGCTACTCAGGTGACAGGGATATAAAACCTGACAATCTCTGGGCTCAGAGTTCTGGTCAGGATGGTGGAATAGACGGTTCCCAGCGTCACTCTTTCCCACAAATCAACCAATTTACAACTATAAAAATGTAACATCATTCAAGCTGGGGCTGCTGGAGCTCAGGGGAAGAGGAGGAGAGACATACGGAGTTCATGAAGGCGGGAGAAACTACGACGAGAGAAAGAAAAAGCTGCTCTGCGCATTTCGGGCCATGGCTGCTTTAAGGCTCGAGCTGATGAGCACATGGAGCAGGAGCCAGCAGAACCTGCAGCTGTGCCCTTTAGATGGAGTTACTTGGAGGTGGCAGGGGAGAAGAGGGACTTGGTGGCCCCCAGGACAGCAAGACCACTAATAGGGTTCCCATGGAACCATGCAGGAGCGAGGAGCCAGAACAACTGAAAAAAGGGAGCCATTCAGAGGCCGGTGAGTCATCGCAAGGGACCAGCACAGGGCCCATCCCATGGGAAGTGTTTGGAGCATGGGCTGTGGGCAAGATGGGAACACGAGGAGAACACTGGGACACAGCAAGGACAGCCAACCTGCCCCCCATTCAGCACAGGACCACTCGGAGGAGAATGGTCAGGAATATAGAATTGCTTGGGGTGCAGTCTGATTAAAAAACTCAGACCCAGATCAGAGATTCTACAGAACACAAATCCTCCAGGTCTCCGGAAAGCGGGAAGTACCTGTAAGATCAATCATTAAACAGGTGAGTTGCACAAAAAGCCTTCCTCAGGGAATCAGCAGCAAAGCAGCAATTTAAACAACCAGACAACTCAAGTACTGGTTCCCACAGGAAGTTCCCCCATGTTAGGAACAAAGGACAAAAAATTAGTTCCGGCCCAGGCACACCACCACCACTACCTTGGGGCCTGCCTGGGAACCAGAGGCTTGGATCCAGGGACCTGACCCCACTCCTACTTCCAGGCACACCACACCAGCACCTCACCTCAGGGCCCACCCGGGGACCCCAGGCAAGGAGAAGGAGACTGGACCTCTCTCACACAACCAGGCACACCAAGCCAGTGCCTTGGGTCCCACCCAGTGACCTGAGGTATGGAGCCGGGGACCAGAGCCTCCTCCCACAAGCACGCATACCATGCCAGCACCTCGAGGCCTGCCCGGGGACCCGAGGCATGGAGAAGGGGACTGGACCTCTTTACCACAACCAGGCATACCGTGCAGCACCCTGGGGCCAGCCCAGGGACCTGAGGCATGAGGAAGGGGACCGGACCCCCCTCCTACAATCAGGTACACAGAGTCAGCTCCTTGGGTCTCGCCAAGTGCCCCGAGGCATGGAGAAGGGGACCGAACTGTCCTCCCACAACCAGGCACAGCGTGTCAGCACCTTAGGGCCTGCCCGGGGACCTGAGGCATGGAGAAGGGGACTGGACCCTCCTCCCACAACCAGGCACATGGCGCCAGCACCTTCGGGCCTGCCCAGGGACCAGAGGCATGGAGAAGGGGACCAGACACACCCCACAACCAGGCATACTGCCAGTGCCAAGGAGCATACCAAAAACAGCACCTCCATGTGGGTGGCCCATGGAGATGGTCTGCCAACCACTGGAGTGCATTCACATAAGGAGAGTCACCTGCAGAGACAAAGAAAAGAAGAGGATGTCTCTCTCCACAAAGCCCATGTCAGAGTGACAGAAGCATCTGCTCTATGATAATACTGGGAGATCTGATCACATCTCTCAGCACCGG